CCAATCCGCCGCCTTCCAAGCCTCCACCGCTGCCGCCGCCGCTGCTACACCCGCGCCCGCCGCCCCTGACTCTGCTGCCGGCGCTGGCGGTGCGGCGTTCAAGTCCCTGCAGGGGCTGGTGGCGATGGTGCTGCAGAACTCACAGAAGCACATGGCGGCGCTGAGGGATGTGAAGCGCATGCTCACGGGGGAGGAGGCGGGTGGCAAGGGGGAGTCGTTCTCCCTGCCGGCACGCACGTTGTCCGTGGTGCAGGAGAGCGCACGCGCGCTGCAGCAGATGCCTGCGCTGCTCATGCAGCTGGACCGCCGGCTCCAGGGCGTGGGTGGCGGGGCGGGTGGGGTTGTGGCTGGAGGAGGGGGAGGAGGAGGAGGTGGTGGAGCGAGGGCGGAAGGGGTCGTGGGGGGGGGAGGTGGAGCAGGCACAGGCATGCGGCAGCAGCAGCAGGAGCAGCAACAGCAGCAGCAGCAGCGGCAGGTGGTAACTGCGATGGAACCGCCAAAGCTGACTGGCAGGGCAGCACGGCACGAGCGGCTGAAGCAGCTGATGGCGCAGGAGGCTGCTGCACGTGCCGCCAAGCAGAAGGAGGCAGAGGCTGCAGCCGCAGGGAAGGCGGCGGCTGCGGCAGCAGGGGGTATGCAAAGAGAGGGAGCAGGCGGGCAGAAGGAGGAGGGGAGCCAAGAGAAGCGCGCGGTGGAAGGGGCAGGGCAGCAGCAGCAGCAGCAGCCGCAGGGAGGGATGGGAGGCGAGCAGGCTGGAGGGAGTGCAGAGGAGAATATCAGTGGGCGTGAGGAGGAGACGAGGGCAGCTAGCGATGGTGCTGCGGGTGCTGGTGGTGCTGGTGGCAGTAATGGTGCTGGTGGCAGTCATGGTGCTGGTGATGGCTCTGCTGGTTCTGGTGCAGGTTCTGCCTCTGGAGAGGTGGAGAGAGGGAGAGAGGGGCAGGCGGGAGGTGGGGATGCTGGAGGGGCGGAGCAAGAGGGAGGAGAGGTGAGGAGGGACGGTGGGGGAGAGAGCGGGGATGGGGAAGGTGGCGGGGATGGCGAGGGGGGGAGAGCACAGGGAGCGACTGGGGAAGGAGATGGAGGAGGGGAGGGGGGAAAGGCAGGAGCAGGTGGAGGAGAGGGGGGAGCAGGGGAAGCAGAGGGTGGAGGGGAAGGAGGGGGCGCAGAGGGAGAAGAAGGGGCAGGGGGAGGAGGGGGAACAGGGGGGGTGGTGCCGATCGAGTGGGCGAAGCCTGAGGAGATGGACAGCGAGCGGGCCGACCTGGTGTCGCTGCTCAAGGCCCGAAGGGACGAGGCGGGCGAGCGCGGCAGCGAGGACAGCGGCGTGAAGAGTGGCAGCGGTGGTGAGGCGGTGAAGCCCCGGCGGAAGTGGAAGAAGCACAAGGGTGGGGAGGGGCGCGGTGCGGTGGGAGGCGGTGGGAAGGGTGAGGGGGAGATGAGTGAGGAGGAGAGAGCGATGGCTGAAGCGAGGATGGCGGTGAGTAGAGAGAGAGGAGGAGGAGGATGAGGAGGAGGAGGAAGAGGAGGAGGGGGAGGGGGAAGGGGAGGAGGGAGAGGAGGAGGGAGGAGAGGGGGAGGAAGAGGGAGGGGAGGACGAGGAGAAGGGTGGAGGGAAGGGGAAAGGAGAAGGTGGGGTGAAGAGTGGGGTCGGGCGCAAGGAGAGGGTGTCTGGGGGGGAAGGTGGGGAGGCAGGGAGGGGGAGGAGAGGAGGTGAGGGAGAGAGCAAGAGAAGGCTAGGAGAGGAAAGTGGTGCGAGGGGGACACAGGCGGGAGGGGAAAGTGGAAGAGGAGGGGCAGGGGAAGGAGGAGGAGAAAGAGGGGAGGTTGCAGCGGTAAGGCAGGGCAGGAGGAAAAACGCGCATTCCGATGGAGCAGGCGGAGGAGCAGCAGAGCATGGGGGCGGGGGCGCGCACAGGGCTGCGACTGAAGAGCATGGGCATCGAGGAGCTGCTGAGCCTGGAGGACGAGGAGGATGATGAGGAGGCGGGCGCAGGGGGAGGGGGAGGGCAAGGTGGGGGAGTGGGAGAGGGGAAGGAAGTGGGTGTGGATAGGGAGGGTGGTGTTGAGGTGGCTGGGGAGGGGGGAAGGAGCAGTGGTTGGGGGGGAGGGCGAGGAGGGCAGCAAGGGCAGGGGATAAGGATGGGAGTGGGGGGAGGCGGAGGGGGAGTGGGAGCAGCAGCGAGGGTGGGCAAGGCGGTGTTGGATGATGTGGAGGGGGAGGAGGCGTGGAGGGAGGCGCTGCCCACGCAGGGGTACATTCCCCAAGGGCCGTTTGCCAGTGAGTATTCGGATTCCCCAAAGGTGAATTTAAGTGCCTACTGAAGGGTACGTTCCCCAGGGGTCCTTTGCGAGTGAGTGCTGTTGGTCTGCCCTTGCCCACCTCCCATCCCTCGTCTCTCGCGTGTTCGAACACCACAGTGCCCTGCTTTGCTCGCAACCAGGGACCCTTCAGGCCCCCATTGCAGCCCCGCCTTGCAGTGCACTACCTGCTTACCATTCCCCTGTCTGCCTTCCCCTGCATCCTTCCGTCCTCCCTGTGACTCCCCAACTGGCTTACCTCCTTCGCTTGGCGCCTGTGCCTGCTTCCATCCCGTGGCCATCGACTTGGGCCATCAGGCGCGTCGGAGTGGAGGCAGCGAGTCCTGGCAGGCAACTCCCATACCTCCGTTCCATACTCATTCCCTCCCGTGCCTGCCATCCATGCCTGCTTCCCTCCCTTCCCCCCTGTGGCCATCGACTTGGGCCATCAGGCGCGTCGGAGTGGAGGCAGCGAGTCCTGGCAGGCAACTCGCTCTTCACACGCTTCAGGTATCAACGACAGGCGTGATACAAACATCTCCACTGATTTCCGGTTGCAATTACAGTCCTTGCAGAAAGAAAGTCAAGTTTCTTATGAATTCCCTTGCCCAATGCCTCATGCCTCATGCCCTTTGCCCCCTGCCCCATGCTGCCTGCTTCCTGCCCACTGTCTCTCCCTCCCTCCCACAGTGGCTACCGCATGGGCCCGCGCAGGCTGGTGGGCGTGGGGGTGGTGCCGCGCACCATGAGGGGCCGCCTTGCTGCCACCCACTGCAGGTGAGCACTGTGCCTCTACCACCCTCCTTCCCCGCCCCTTACCTTCTGCTACTCTCTCTTGCGCTGCTTCCTCGGCCACCTTGACTGTGCGGTGAGCGTGTCGCACTCACTCATTTCCCCCAACCTCCAACCTCCCCCTCCTCCCCGGCAACCACAGGTGGTTCGGGCCAGCTCAGATGGCGCTGGACTGCGCGGTGAACGTGTCGTACTCGCTCGTTTGCCCAACCCCCTGGCCCACGCGCCCACCCCTCCCCCACTCGGCCGCCCTTCCCTCACTCGCCCACCACCCCATTTCACCTCACAGGTGGTTCGGACCAGCACAGCTGGGGCTGGACTGCGCGGGGAAGGTGTCGTACTCGCTGGTTCCTACACTGTTCCCCCCCGCTCGCCCATCCCTCTTCCACTTTCACCTCTCAGATGGTTCGGGCCAGCGCTGCTGGCGCTGGACTGTGCGGTGAACGTGACGTACTCACTGGGGCAGCAGGGGTCCGCCTCGCAGCACACAGAGGCCGTTATCGAGGCCGCCTTTAGCGAGGACGTGCCCAACACAGGGGGCTTCCTGGCTGTGCGCATTGAAGGGACCGACTTTGTGCTCTACAGGTGGGACGGTGGTGGGTGGGACAGTGGTGGGGGTGACAATGGTGGGTGTGACAGTAGTTATTGTGACTGTGGTGGGTGTGGTTAACAGACAGGGTTGTGTGTGCACACCACCAAAGTGGTTTTTTAGTTGACTCAAAAGTCACCTCCTTATGATGCCACAGGACACATTTTGAGTCGACTTAGAAGTCTGGCTAATAGAGAAGGTTGTGTGCGCACCACCAAAGGCTTCGCTTCGTAACAACGGTGGGACAAGTGTTGGTGGAGGGGGGGGTGGTGGAATACCACCCACAGCTACAAGTCCTGAAACCACGCCCTTCACCCCTATCCTCTCCCCTTCACCTTTTCGCCACGCCACCACCCCGCTTTAACTCTCTCCTTTTATGTCTTCCCCCTCCCCCCCTCCCTTGCACCTCTCTTCTCCACACCCCCTCTTCTTACTCCCTCTCCTTTTGCCAGGGAAGCCCCTCTGACCTTCCCCACCACAACCCCAGGCCTCCCCTTCCCCTTCCACTCGGTGCTCTGCCTGCTTCCACTCGGTGCTCTGCCGGTGCATCTGCTGCGCGAGGTGGTGGAGTACCACCCCTCCAAACCTCTCCTGCACCTCTTCTTCCCCCATACCTCCCTGGCACGCCCTCCCCATTCTGCCCCACAACCACTCTTCCCCCTCTCTCCCCCCACCTTCCCCCCACCAGGGAAGCCCCTCTCACCTTCCCCACCACGGCCCCAGGCCTCCCCTTCCCCTTCCACTCGGTACTGTGTCTCCTCCCATCGGCGCGCAACGCATCGGTGCCGGTGCATCTGCTGCGCGAGGCGGTGGAGTACCACCGGCTGCTGGGCGCGGCGGTGGTGGTGCTGTACGACAGCGGGGGGTGGCTCGCCGTGGAGCTGCAGGAGCGATTCCACGATGACTTTGAGCGCCGGGTCGTACGGCGCACGGACTTCACTGGCGCCAAGCAGTTTGACCTCGAGAGGAACGGGCAGGTGCGTGCCAGGGCATGACAGGTGGGTCGCACATGCCGTGCGCATGCGATTGGCGGTGGGTTGCAGGGGAACAGGCTGGGGCACACTGGGGAACAGACTAGGAGGGCCCAAACAATCATTGGGGCCTGCAATGATCGTTGGCCAAGCTCCACCATTACCATTTCCTCCGCCTATGTGTACTTGCTGCATTTGAGCCTACAATCATTACAAGTTCCCTTTCTCACACACACTCCCTCCCCCCATCCCAATTTCCTCCTGCCATCCTCTGCGCGTACCTGTGCGCCTCCGCTCGTGTAGCGGGAGGATAACGTATTCACACGTGCTCCCCGTGGGGAGCTGGGCTGATGCTTGTAACCTCTTCCATCGGCATGTTTGTAATGGATCACAACCTACTATAAACCTTTAAACCTCCTGCCATCCTCTGCCTTTCCACCCCCCCCCCCCGCCCCCACCAGGTGCTAGCAATGCACGACTGTGTGCACCGCCACGCCTTCACGGCCCGCTGGGTCATCCCAGCCGCCATCAACGAGTTCCTCTTTGTCGGCCTCCCCCCCGCCTCCATCGCCTCCTTCCTCGACCCCTTCGCCTACCCCGCCACCTCCTCCTCCGAAACCGCCCTCTCAGACCCTCTCATCGACTCCGCCGCCACCGCCGCCGCCGCTGCGGTAACCGCATCCGGAGGCTCGGCAGCGGCAGCTGCCGAGGCTGCGGCGTACGTGCGGGCGGTGCCGTGGGTGAGCGTGGGGAGCCAGTGGTGGGCGACGCGGCTGTGCTCGCTGCCGTTCCGCGTGGCTGAGGGCGAGGCGTTCTCTATGGAGCGCATGGTGTTCCGTTGGCCCTACCCCGTCTGCCACGACCGCATTCGCTTCCCCGACCCCCACCTCTGCCCCGGAGAGGCTGGCTTCCGCCGCCTCATCATGGATCCACGCAAGGTGCGATGGGGCTGTGCGATGGGGCGGGGAGGGGCAAGGTGCGGTGGGATGATGACATGGGGAAGGGGGTACAAACGTGAGATGGAATGGGAGGAGAGCAGGAGAACGTGAATGGCCGCTATGGTGCTCTGCACTCACTTTGTCATCGCCTCCTCCCCTTTACCCCGGCCCCTGGCTCCTGACTATGCCTCCTCTTCTTTCCCCTCCCCATCCCTCGCCCCACAGATTTCAGCGCTGGGGCTGCATGAGGCGGAGTCAGCATCGCGGGTGAGGGGGGTGCACGTGCGGAGCACGGTGGCCAACTTCAACCACCTGCAGGACGCTGTCATGGACCCCACTGCGTGGTGCCAGCACACGCTGCTCAAGAGCGAGGTGAGTCACCGTGGTGCCAGGTTGTGGTGCTGTGTGCAAGGCTGGTAACTGGATGCAGGACTGGGAACCAAGGCTGGTAACTGAGGCTGGAATGTGGGGGACCGCTCACCTGCAGGACGCTGTCATGGACCCCACCGCGTGGTGCCAGCACACGCTGCTCAAGAGCGAGGTGAGTCACCGTGGTGCCAGGTTGTGGTGCTGTGTGCAAGGCTGGTAACTGGATGCAGGACTGGGAACCAAGGCTGGTAACTGAGGCTGGAATGTGGGGGACCGCTCACCTGCAGGACGCTGTCATGGACCCCACCGCGTGGTGCCAGCACACGCTGCTCAAGAGCGAGGTGAGTCACCGTGGTGCCAGGTTGTGGTGCTGTGTGCAAGGCTGGTAACTGGGGCTTGCATGTGGTAGACGGCTCACCTGCAGGAGGCTGTCATGGACCCCACTGCGTGGTGCCAGCACACGCTGCTCAAGAGCGAGGTGAGTCACCGTGGTGCCAGGTTGTGGTGCTGTGTGCATGGCTGGTAACTGGATGCAGGACTGGGAACCAAGGCTGGTAACTGAGGCTGGAATGTGGGGGACCGCTCACCTGCAGGACGCTGTCATGGACCCCACTGCGTGGTGCCAGCACGCGCTGCTCAAGAGCGAGGTGAGTCACCGTGGTGCCAGGTTGTGGTGCTGTGTGCAAGGCTGGTAACTGGATGCAGGACTGGGAACCAAGGCTGGTAACTGAGGCTGGAATGTGGGGGACCGCTCACCTGCAGGACGCTGTCATGGACCCCACCGCGTGGTGCCAGCACACGCTGCTCAAGAGCGAGGTGAGTCACCGTGGTGCCAGGTTGTGGTGCTGTGTGCAAGGCTGGTAACTGGATGCAGGACTGGTAACCAAGGCTGGTAACTGAGGCTGGAATGTGGGGGACCGCTCACCTGCAGGACGCTGTCATGGACCCCACCGCGTGGTGCCAGCACACGCTGCTCAAGAGCGAGGTGAGTCACCGTGGTGCCAGGTTGTGGTGCTGTGTGCAAGGCTGGTAACTGGATGCAGGACTGGGAACCAAGGCTGGTAACTGAGGCTGGAATGTGGGGGACCGCTCACCTGCAGGACGCTGTCATGGACCCCACCGCGTGGTGCCAGCACAAGCTGCTCAAGAGCGAGGTGAGTCACCGTGGTGCCAGGTTGTGATCTATGTTGCGGAAGACGCGTCTAGCGTCTTAGACGCGTCCGTCTAGACGCAGCGTCTAAGACGCTAGACGCAATTTAGGCCAGATTAGACGCAGGTTTAGACGAAAGCCCAGGCAGGCCAAAAAAAGGTTGGGGCAGCCTAAAAAAACTTCTGTCGGGCATGGGGAGGGTGGGGGACATGCACATATGTCACAATTGGGTGAAATTTTCCCCGTACCATAAAATTTTTCCCATATTTTTTTTTCCAGGCTGCCCAAACAATTTTAGCCCAAGCGTCTAGCGTCTAAATGTGCGTCTTGCGTCTTCCGCAACATAGGTTGTGATGCTGTGTGCAAGGCTGGTAACTGGAGCTTGCATGTGGTAGACGGCTCACCTGCAGGAGGCTGTCATGGACCCCACTGCGTGGTGCCAGCACACGCTGCTCAAGAGCGAGGTGAGCCGCCCCACAGCTCTGCTGGGTATATGCGGGGATTACCAGGTTCTTTCAACCAGATCCTGCGTTTCCTATCGCGGTCATATGCAAGGCACTCGCAAGAAGGCAGCCCAGTCCGCCCCTCCTTCATTGCGCTGCTTACTCTCCTGCTTGTCTTCCTGTGTGGTGCTCTGCTGTCATGCTCTGCTGTGTGATGAATGCTCTGGCTTGGCCTGACCTGGTGCGGACTGTTTCTATGATGGATTATACGCGTTTAGCGTATATATGCGTATCGTATATACGCTGGCGTGTATACGCAATACGCTTGAGGGTCGGATCAGGCATACGCTTTTTCGGGCAGGGAAAAAAAATTCGGGCAGGGTGGAAAAAAATACCCCCTATCTCATCTCACTAGGACGTGCCGTAGCATTTTCCTGAGTCCGATCGGCGAGTGGGGTGGGGCGGGGAGTAGTCATCATAGCTAGAGAAAGTAGTGTTGGAGAGGCTTTTCAAGTTGGAGTGCGCGGTGACACTGCTGGAAGCGGGAATGCAAGGTAGGAAATGACGGGTTAGGAGTTGGGTTGGCTGGTTAGTAGCGTGAGATTTGTTGGGGGTTCGATTTTGATAGGTTGGATTTCGTAGATAAGATGGTTTTCAATGCGGTAGAGGGGATGGGTTCAAATGCCTAGATGGGATCTGAAATTCGACATTTGAATAGCTAGATGTGCCTGAAAACTTCAAAGTCAGATCCCAGCTTGCCTAGACCGCGGATTTGCATTTCGACTTCGGCGAAATGCTCACCAAGAAAATCCGCATCTTTTCTGCGATTTTATTTTTCCGGGCTGCCCGGAAAATTTTATGGCAGCGTATTGCGTATTCGCTAGCGTTTAGCGTATTGCGTGTATACGCTAGCGTATATACGCTAAACGCGAAGGGCCTCGAGCGTATAATCCAACATAGGACTGTTTTTGTGTGGCATGGCGGGGCACGGCATGGCATGGTATGGCATGGCATGGCATGGCATGGCACGGCATGGCATGTCATGGCATGGCATGGCATGGCATGGCATGGCATGGCACGGCATGGCATGGCATGGCATGGCATGGCATGGCATGGCATGGCATGGCATGGCATGGCATGGAATGGCATGGCATGGCATGGCACTAACAGGTGCCGGAGTTTTATGTGCGCGACGTGTACCTGCGGGAGGCAGCCCAGTCGTTGCGGGCGGGGCGTGTCTGCGACTTCACCAGAGGCCGCGTGAGTGCCTCACCCTGCTCGCCCTGCACACGGGCACGGCAGCACACATGGGGACATGGCAGCACACATGGGGACATGGCAGCACACATGGGGACATGGCCGCACACATGGGGACATGGCAGCACACATGGGGACATGGCAGCACACATGGGGGCATGGCAGCACACATGGGGGCATGGCAGCACACATTAGGACATGGCAGCACACCTGGGGACATGGCAGCACACATGGGGACATGTCAGCACACATGGGGACATGGCAGCACACGTGGGGACATGGCAGCACACGTGGGGACATGGCAGCACACATGGGGACATGGCAGCACACGTGGGGACATGGCAGCACACATGGGGGCATGGCAGCACACATGGGGGCATGGCAGCACACATTAGGACATGGCAGCACACGTGGGGACATGGCAGCACACGTGGGGGCACGGCAGCACACATGGGGACATGGCAGCACACATGGGGACATGGCAGCACACATGGGGACATGGCAGCACACGTGGGGGCATGGCAGCACACATGGGGACATGGCAGCACACATGGGGGCATGGCAGCACACATGGGGACATGGCCGCACACATGGGGACATGGCAGCACACATGGGGACATGGCAGCACACGTGGGGGCATGGCAGCACACATGGGGACATGGCAGCACACGTGGGGACATGGCAGCACACATGGGGGCATGGCAGCACACATGGGGGCATGGCAGCACACATTAGGCCATGGCAGCACACCTGGGGACATGGCAGCACACATGGGGACATGTCAGCACACATGGGGACATGGCAGCACACGTGGGGACATGGCAGCACACGTGGGGACATGGCAGCACACATGGGGACATGGCAGCACACGTGGGGACATGGCAGCACTCATGGGGGCATGGCAGCACACATGGGGGCATGGCAGCACACATTAGGACATGGCAGCACACGTGGGGACATGGCAGCACACGTGGGGGCACGGCAGCACACATGGGGACATGGCAGCACACATGGGGACATGGCAGCACACATGGGGACATGGCAGCACACGTGGGGACATGGCAGCACACATGGGGACATGGCAGCACACGTGGGGGCATGGCAGCACACATGGGGACATGGCAGCACACATGGGGACATGGCAGCACACATGGGGACAGCACACGTGGGGGCATGGCAGCACACATGGGCATGGGGGCATACATGGGCGTGGGAGCGCACAGGGCCACTCATGATGCCTTGACACTCCTTCGTTACAGTCACGCGCATATCCATGGGTCTCGTTACATGATCATCGGTCCCAACCCTCTCTTGTGCTCCGTGCATTATCATGTGCCCCCTGCAGTGCGTGCCTGGCCCCGACTAAACTTATCTTGGAGGCCACATATGGAATGCTGTCAAGAACCACAACCCTCCACCAACGTGTTTTGAGAATTTTTTATGATGCTGCTTACACTTACCCAAAGTGGGTGGCACTCTCAAGGCTGGCAAGGTGGTACCATGGAATGCGTCGGGTCGGGGCAGATCGGATTTGAAAGAATGCACAGCGAGTGCTGTAGCAGCAGCTCAAGCTCACTCTAGGAACCTTAGTGATTGGTTGTTGGGAGTCTAGTGGATCACAAGAGTGGCTGTTGATTTGTTTAAATGAAACACAAGGTGCATGAACCCTGGCGAAGCTTGTCCTTTGTTTTGTATTCCGATATATCTGCCCCTGAATGCTTATGGGCTCAGCCCAAACACTGCACCTACTGTATCAGGGGAACAGTTCAGCTTTTTTGTTTGGCACTTGTACTTGCAAGACCCTTATGACTCCTTTCAAATGGACCTCCATGTTATGGAGTCCACATTGTGGATGCAACTAGAATAATTCGTTGATTCTTTGAAAAGATTATTTACGGTATTGGCTCTTAGAATAAGTGCAGAATAGTGAACCCCAACCCGTGTCCCGAATAGAAATGGCAGAAGGAATAAAACGAGAATGGAATGCTACTGAAGGCCCGCCCAATAAATAAAAGGAGATTACATACGGCAGGCACACTCGATATGTTGATGGGAGCAAGATCACGGTGGGTGAGAGTGAGATGGTGGCGGGAGTGAGACAATGGTGGGAGCACGGCGGCATTAGAAGTAATCCCCCGCATAGTACACCCTAGGGTGTACTGATAAATACCCCCCTTTAGGGGGGTGTTCAATTTTGGGGGGGGAGTGTAAGGCTGCACCCATGGGTGTTATATAATGGCATACACAACTATTTTAAATTTCTGTATTCTGTATTCAGCTCTCTGAACTTTATCGAAACCAGCTGAAAAAGCTTTCGCACTGCGCGTGGAATTCGTGCCACGTCATTCTGACACAAGCAGGCTCGCCACCAATCGCGCAGTGACGAATTGGGGCCAGCCTCTCCACGTTGCGTGGTTGTCTCTAGGGTGGCGTGTGCTTTTTGGTCTGGGAATTTCGTTAGAAACTAAAATTTCGTTACATAATTCAATGAAATTGTCTCAGGGGGTGTACTAAAAAATAAATAAATTATGGGGAGTGTTCTAACTGGTGTATTTTTCAGTACACCCACCGTAATTGAACACCCATGGGTGTTCAATTTTGGGGGGTGTATTATGCGGGGGATTACGGTAAGTTCATAGCACAGCAGTGCCATCTAGTAGGACTGGTGCTTGCATTCCAACACAGACTGATGCTTGCATCCCAACACAGACTGATGCTTGCATTCCAACACAGACTGATGCTTGCATTCCAACACAGGGTTTATGCCTTGTTCTTCTGCCGGGAGGAGATGATACGAAGGAGAGAATAGAGAGCGAGGGTTTGTGGGCAAGGGGCATGTGGTTGTGAGAGAATGGGTGAGGGCAATGCAGTGCAGGGAGAGGGAGAGGGGAGGAGAGGCAAGGAGGTAGAGAGGCGAGGAGAGGGAGAGAGCAAAGAAAAGAGGCAAGGGCACTGCGTGAAAAGCACAGACCCTTGGCAGGAAGAGCATGAATTAGAGGAGACTTGGAGGGTTGAGGGTAGCGAAGGAAAGGAGTTGAGGAGAAGGTGAGGGTAGCGAAGTTAAGGCCAGCAGGGAGGTGAAGAGGTCCGCACGTGAGGTTAAGGTACCACAGTTAATCACCTGAGAGGAAGAGATGAGAGGAAGGTTGGAGTAACGCCTGAAGATGCAAGGAGACGAGGTGAGGAGATGTGAAGGAAATATGGTAGCGCAGCCTAATGAATCAAACAGGGAAAGAGGTATGCAAGTGAGGGAACCACAGTCAATAACCAAAGAGCCCACAGGGAGAAAAATGACCTCACCTTGCCCCAGATTACCCCTCACGCATGCACTCCTACCAGCCCTCACTTGTGTTACCTGACAGAAGCAATATCGCACCACATTCAACTCCCCCAGTCACCTGGCAAGGCGTCTAGTGAGAGCCGCGAGCGTGGGTGGGTAAACTGCGCGCATTACCTTATGCCTAACGGATGCACTCCCACCATTCCTCACCTTACCGTGTGTTATCTGACAGAACCACTGTCGCACCACATTAAAATCCGGCATTCACCTGGCAAGGCGACTGGGAGGATGCAAGGTGTAGGGTGGCGGCCGGTGGATGGTGCGGTGTGGTGTGGGAGAGGCGAGGGGGATATGGTAGCGCAGCCCTCACCTTGTGGGAGGGAGAGGCGAGGGGGATATGGTAGCGCAGCCCTCACCTTGTGGGAGGGAGAGGCGAGGAGGATATGGTAGCGCAGCCCTCACCTTGTGGGAGGGAGAGGCGAGGGGGATATGGTAGCGCAGCCCTCACCTTGTGGGAGGGAGAGGCGAGGGGGATATGGTAGCGCAGCCCTCACCTTGCGGGAGGATGCAGAGTCTAGGGTGGCGGCCGGTGGATGGTGCGGTGTGGGAGAGGCTAAGGTGCTAAGGGGGAAAGTGACTTTTGAGTCGACTCAAAAGATGTCTGGGAGGATGCAAGGTGTAGGGTGGCGGCCGGTGGATGGTGCGGTGTGGTGTGGGAGAGGCGAGGGGGATATGGTAGTGCAGCCCTCACCTTGTGGGAGGGAGAGGCGAGGGGGATATGGTAGTGCAGCCCTCACCTTGTGGGAGGGAGAGGCGAGGGGGATATGGTAGCGCAGCCCTCACCTTGTGAGAGGGAGAGGCGAGGGGGATATGGTAGCGCAGCCCTCACCTTGTGGGAGGGAGAGGCGAGGGGGATATGGTAGCGCAGCCCTCACCTTGTGGGAGGATGCAGAGTCTAGGGTGGCGGCCGGTGGATGGTGCGGTGTGGGAGAGGCTAAGGTGCTAAGGGGGAAAGTGACTTTTGAGTCGACTCAAAAGATGTCTGGGAGGATGCAAGGTGTAGGGTGGCGGCCGGTGGATGGTGCGGTGTGGTGTGGGAGAGGCGAGGGGGATATGGTAGTGCAGCCCTCACCTTGTGGGAGGGAGAGGCGAGGGGGATATGGTAGTGCAGCCCTCACCTTGTGGGAGGGAGAGGCGAGGGGGATATGGTAGCGCAGCCCTCACCTTGTGGGAGGGAGAGGCGAGGGGGATATGGTAGCGCAGCCCTCACCTTGTGGGAGGGAGAGGCGAGGGGGATATGGTAGCGCAGCCCTCACCTTGCGGGAGGATGCAGAGTCTAGGGTGGCGGCCGGTGGATGGTGGGGTGTGGGAGAGGCTAAGGGGCTAAGGGGGAAGGTGACTTTTGAGTCGACTCAAAAGATGTCTGGGAGGATGCAAGGTGTAGGGTGGCGGCCGGTGGATGGTGCGGTGTGGTGTGGGAGAGGCTAAGGGGCTTAAGGGGAAAGGTGAGAGGAATGCATGGTCAGGAACCTGCAAGCGCCACGACAGGGCTGGCTGGTGGATGGTGCCATGTGGGAGGAGAGGAGAGGGTGGAGGGTCGAGTGCAGTTGGGTGGATGGGGGTAGTTTGAGCTGGGAATGCTACATGCAGCATCTGATATGATAGACGGATGTGAGAACAGCGTCAAGACTGACTTGGGGGCCGGGCGGAAGGCGGGGGTGAGGTGGGTGGATGGATGGGGAAGCGATGAAGGCTGCATGCAGAAACAACTCTTGATTTTGGAGTTAAAACAATGCATACATGGAAGGGAGAAATTCTCGTGAATTCTCGAAAATGTCTTCCATCATTACATTGCCCCACCACCTCCTATTATCACATCAACTGCCCCAAATACCCCTTCTATGTTGGGTAGCAGCACCAAACACTTTTCTGTCCCTTCCAGCACCAAACACTTGGCTCTCCCTCCTAAAACCACTCACATGTGCACTACTCACCATCATCCTTACCATCATTTCTCCCTCACCTGCCATTCTTTTCCCTCCCCCACCTGCCACTCCATACACTTGGCATTGCAACGTCTGGGCGTAGAAAGTTAGAGGTGGAATGGAAGGGAAGAGTGAGTCGGCTCAGCAACGTGACTATCGTGGGTCAACTCAAACACACCCCCCTACCTTCAGTGCGTTGTTGTTGTTGGTGAGGCGGTGCAACAACAGCGCACTGAAGGTGGGGGGAGTGTTTGAGTCGGCTCAGCAACATGACTAACCCGGGCTTCTTGGGTTGGTACAGCGACAGGACTCAGCATGAGGGAGAGGTGGGGTGGGGTAGACCTTTGAGTCGACTCAGCAACTTGAGTATTCCAAGCTTGGTGAGGTGAGACGAGTTTTGGGGTGGTACAGCACTCGTCTCAATTCACGCTAGTCCGTGACTGTCCCGGGTGGTGCAACAACTGTTCTTAGCACGAGGGAGAGGTGGGGTGCGAAGTAGGAGAGAAACTGTGAGGAGAGAAGGTGGGTACTGTGAGGAGAGAAGGTGGGTACTGTGAGGAGAGAAGGTGGGTCCTGTGAGGAGAGAAGGTGGGCACTGTGGGGTGAGAGTGCTGTGGGGGCCCGAAGCAATTGCGCGACTGGGGGGACCGGGTGGGGAAAGGAGGGTTCAGTTGAGTGCGTTGGCGAGACGGACCCGGGGAGGATGGATGTGGAAGAGAGAGACAGTGCCGTAGAGACAGGATCCCTTGTTGGCGAAGGAAATGCGGAGCTGGTGGGGAAACGCGGATGTTGGCGAAGGAAATGCGGAGCTGGTGGGGGGAAAGGGTGGGGGAAGGAAAGTTCAGTGCGTTGGTGAGACGGATGCAGGGAGGATGGATGTGGAAATTTGCGTAGGAGAAGCAGGTGCGGAGCTGGGCCGGGAAGAGGGAAAGGGGGGAAGAGGTTAAGGGGAAACGGAAAGGGTTGAGTAAGGGGTTGTTGTGTGCAATTGATAGGAGCAGATGCCACTGTCGCAAAAGCCGATGTGGGATACACGATTGTGGGGTCTGGGTGGGAGGTAGGAACCAGGAATTGGGTGGGAGGGGCGGAGATGTAGGTGGAGAAGGGCCGGGCGAATGAACCTCACTTTGGCTGCAACTACCTTCCCAACTCAACTGGCCTACCCACCCATCAGATCCCTCCCTCCCTCTCACAACCATCCCACAACCATTTAGCGACTCCTCCCCACCTGACTCAGTTTATTCCTGCACGCACCTCTCACCCCCCTCCCCTCCCAACCCCCCTCCACCAAGCTTAACCTCGGCAATCTCCAGCCTGTTAACCGCCCCACCCGAGCCCCTGCCACCCACCCATCGGTAGCACCCATCGCATCTCATTTGGCCTCACCCGCCCCAGCAGCACCCCCTCCTTCACCGCCCCTTCACCACTCCTCAAGTGACCAACACACACGCGTTTACCCCACAGAGACCCCACAGACTCTCGCACACATACCCATTACGCCTCATTGCCTCTCGCATACATACCCACCGCGCCTCACCGCTCTCGACTTGGCAATACTCAGCTTTTCCACACTACCCTTCCCACATCAGTAACTCCTCTTCAACGCATCTCAATGATGGCACTGCCACACCACCGCACTCACCCATTTCGTAATGCAAGTTCATTTGAACCCCCAAGAGCAGCACGCATGTGATTGCTCAAGTGGCACGTGTGATGTGTGGCAGGGCGCGATGCAACAATGCGAAGCTCGCGTCCTGCCTGCCACCTCCCCATGTGCGCTGTTCGCCGCCATTCTCTGGCTGGAGTCATGCGGTGGTGCGCTCGAGTAGAGAAGCTGAGATTTGACTGAGGGCGCGATGAGGGGAAGAAACTGGGGCCAAGGGCAGGCGGGAAGGAGGAAGGGTGGGGGGGTGGGAGAGGTGAGGATGAGAGGGAGAAAGTGGGGCCTTAAGTGGGGACAGGGGAGAGGGCAGAGAGCCATTAGGCGCGTCAGTACTGGCTGCTAATCAGAGGGACAAGCGGCTTTGAGCGGCCTTGATGTACGAGTCATTGGAGAAGTGGTGAGCAGGCAGCACGTGAGCATGCAGCACGTGAGCATGCAGCACGTGAGCATGCAGCACGTGAGCATGCAGCACGTGAGCATGCAGCACGTGAGCATGCAGCACGTGAGCATGCAGCACGTGAGCAGGCAGCACGTGAGCATGCAGCACGTGAGCAGGCAGCACGTGAGCATGCAGCACGTGAGCATGCAGCACGTGAGCATGCAGCACGTGAGCATGCAGCACGTGAGCATGCCGCACGTGAGCATGCAGCACGTGAGCATGCCGCACGTGAGCATGCAGCACGTGAATGGCTATCATGACGCTGTAACAGGTTCTGCCAGGTGGTACCATGCCACTGCCATGAGCGACGTATCCGTTCGCCCAGCAAACGTGTCCAGTTCATCATCCCATGCACATTCGTATCCTTGCTCTGTTTCATTTCACGCGCCATGCCATCATGTCCCATGAAGCCCATCAGTCACTACACTCGTAGACAGCAGTTGTGACGCCATGCGGGGAATAATGAAACATGGAAAGCTGCATGCTTACCATCGCGTTACGGCGTGCTGTCTCCGATTCATCATCTTTGAGAGCATCCACCTCTTTCTAGTTCACTCTCCCATCCTCTCTCTCTCTCTCTGCCCCTTCCCCCTCACCTCTCCCCTGCACTCCGGTTCTTCCGCTCCCGCCGCCCTCCCCTCCTTCCCCTTGCCCTCCATCCCACCTTCCCTTGACCCCTCCCTCCCCTCTCCCCTCTCTGACTCTACACTTGGCTCTCCCTCCCTCCCCCCTCCTTGTGCCAGCAAACAACCCTTCACGCCTCTCATCCTGCAGCCATCCCATGCTGCAGCCATCCCATGCTGCAGCCATCCCATGCTGCAGCCATCCCATGCTGCAGCCATCCCATGCTGCAGCCATCCCATGCTGCAGCCATCCCATGCTGCAGCCATCCCATGCTGCAGCCATCCCATGCTGCAGCCATCCCATGCTGCAGCCATCCCATGCTGCAGCCATCCCATGCTGCAGCCATCCCATGCTGCAGCCATCCCATGCTGCAGCCATCCCATGCTGCAGCCATCCCATGCTGCAGCCATCCCATGCTGCAGCCATCCCATGCTGCAGCCATCCCATGCTGCAGCCATCCTGTGCTGCCTCCGTTCCTCCCACCATAGCCACCATCCCCATGCCTCAAATCATCGCCACAGCTCCCACCACACCCACACATCACGTGCCCTTCCTGTTCTCCTCCTGCTCCTCCTCCTCCTCTTCCTCCTCCTCTCCCTCCTCCTCCTCTTCCTCCTACTTTCCCACACCCTCCCCGCTCCCTCCACCACCCCCTCCCTCCCATTCCCTAATCTCTACTTTCGTTACCTCCCACCCCCCCTTCTCCCCAGCACCCACTTCCCCCTCCCCCGTCTTCCCCAATCACCCCCCTCCCCCCGCACCTGTCTCGCCAGCACCACCATGCGTTTCAAGCGACTCATTCGCTTCTGCTTCGCTGTCTGCCTCTCCTTCCCCCGCCCCACACCAATTCTCTCCCACGTGGATGCCTTCACCCGCACCCACCTCTCCCCGCGCCCCTTACGCGCACACTCTCCCTTTCCCCCTCTCCCGCCCTTCCCCGCCTCTCCGCCTGCCACTTCGCCCCTCCTCCGCTCTCCTGCTCCCCTTTCTCCCGTCAAACCCTAACCATTCGCACCAGTAACCCCCCGTTCCCCTCCCCTCCCTGCGCCTCCCCTATCCCCTCCGTGTGGGCGACCGTCGCTGCTGCCCCCATCTGCGTTCCCCCACCCCCCCTGGCGCACAGACCGATTTGCGCCAATTCTCGCGGAGGCTGCGGTCGATTTGTGCGCACGACGGAAATGGCAGGGGGGGTGGAAGCAGTGGCGGCGGCGAGGATGTGATCCAGGCGGAGCGCGACCGCCGCGGGCTTCCACTAGCGCCTCTTCCCGCCGCCGCCGCTGTCGCTGCCGCTTTGGCTTGTGCTGCTGGTAGCGACGCCTCTCCCTCCGCTGCTGCCGCCGCTGTCGCCGCGGCTGTCTCAGCCGCTGCCGCCGCCGGGAGTTCTGCCTGCGCCCGCGTGCTTGCCCCATCCGCCAACGCCGCTGATCCTCGCGCCACTGCTGTCGCGGCTCTCCGCCATCGCGAATTTCTTCTTCTCGCTCTCGTCGTCTACACTCGCTATCCGTCTGTCGCTCTCCCGTTGCAAAGTCTCTCGCTCTCCCGTCGCTCCATCCGTCGCTCCATCTGTCGCTATCAAGCCACTATCTGGCGCCACATTGTGATAGGATTCAAGAATAATTGAGTAATGAGCCAAGGAGGCTCTATAGTACAAGCATGCAAGGAAGAGAGGTTGGAAGAAGGTGCAAACCCTATTGGCCACTAAGTTGGCCAATGGGTGAGTTGCCTTGTGGAGTAGGGAACCCCACAATGTTGCTAGCTTGTGATTGGTTGGCCTTAGGACCAAATGTTGGCAAGTGCCAACCAAGGACCAAGACCAAACCAAATCTTGACCCAACCACAAAGTGTGTGTATATATAAGATACATTTACAACACAACCCCCCAACATGCATAAGGCTAGAAAAAATGTAATCAGGAGGCCGCCAAAACTGGTGGCGGGGTGAGCCCAAGGAGACGCAACAGGAAGGAGTGGGACGCTTGGGGAAGAGCTTTGGTGAAGATGTCGGCGAGGTTGGCTGCCGAGTCGATTTTGCCAAGACGAATGTGGCCGGCCTCAACGAGATCGCGAATGAAGAAGTAGCGAAGCTCAATGTGTTTTGAGCGCCCATGATACACAGCGTCCTTGGTGAGGTGGATGGTGCTGGCGTTGTCACACCAGATGGTGGGACAGCGTTGGGGGGCTCCTAGCTCATCAAGGAGGAAGGTGAGCCAGCGTGCTTCTTGCGCGGCCATGGTCGCAGCGTAGATCTCTACTTCGCAGGAGGAGAGGGCGACGGCAGAGGAGCGTGTGGACCGCCAGCTGATGAGACCGCTGCCGAGGGAGAAGCCATAGCCCTGAGAGGACCGCCGATCCGGTCGAGAATCAGCCCAGGAAGAGTCGCTGTAGCCGTTGAGGTGTGGTGGGGAAGGGCCGCCAAGAGTGAGGACATAGTCCTTGGTGCCACGAATGTAGCGAAGGACACGCTTGGCGGCCTGCCAGTGCTCTTCCGTGTGCTTGCCAGCGCCAACGAACCGGGCGAGGACGCTGATGGGGTTAGTAAGGAGGGGGTGAGGGTAGAGGTTAGTAAGGAGGGCGGCATGAAGGAGGGCGTAGCCCCACAGAGAAGGGGGGCATGAGGCGTGGACAAGAAGACACCGAGCCGTTTTGGTGATCTCCCGAACACGGCTCTCAGCGACACCGTTCTGCTGTGGGGAGTGAGGGAGGGTGTGAGTCTGGAGAATGCCGCGGGACTGGCAGTAGGAGGAAATTTGGGTATTAAGGAACTCACCACCACCATCAGAGTGAAGGCGGCGAACAGGGCGGCCAAAGTGGGTGTTGGCTTGCTCGAGCCAAGCAATGATCGCGGTCGGGGCATCCGCCTTCGTCCGAAGGAGAGAGACGGACGAGTACCGACTGTGGTCATCGACTAGCACGAGAAGGTAGCGATGACATTGGCGAGTGGGGGAAGGGTTAGGGCCCCAGAGGTCCATGTGAACAAGATCAAGTGGCTGAGCAGCAGCGGAGGGGGAGCTCCGGTGCGGCTGCTGCTTGAGCTTGCTCTGAACACAGACGACGCAAGGGGGGGCAGGGGACTTTGGGAGGGGAGGGAGGGAGGAGGGGAGACCGTGGAGGAGACCGGAGGATACAGAGGAGCGCAGAGTGGCGAAGTTGGGGTGACCTAGCCTGTGATGGAGGAGGATGGCAGGGTGGGAGAGGGAGCGACATGAGCAGTCAGAGTCAGGGGGGCGGGGGGGGACGGGTGGGTTAGTGGGTTGGAGGGGGGGGGGGGGGGGGAGGAGGGGCGGGGAGGCAACTTGGAAGGTGAGTGGGCGAGGAACCCGAAGGGTGTATAGACGGGAGCGGGGACAGTAGGGAATACGGGCGAGGAAGCGACCTGTGGAGGTTTGGTATAGGTCACAATGGTTAGCACCACCTGGGGTGAGAGTGGTGATCATGGATTGTTGGAGGGACCTTTGGGAGAGGAGGTTGGTGCGAAGGGAGGGAATGTGAAGACCTGTGACAGTACCTGAGGGAAAGAGAGGACAGGGAAGGGTGGAGGTGTTGTGACAGGGGATGGAAAAGCTGCTATCAGCGCCAAGGAGGGACGTGGATGTGGGAAGAGGATTGAGTTTGCCGGCATCTCGAAAGACATTATCAGTGGCTCCACTGTCCAAGACGAACTCAAGGGTGGAGGAGGGTGAGGCGGAATACTGAATTGAGGTTTCATTAATAGCAGGGGCATACATAGGAGATGCAACAGAAAAAGGCTGACTAAGGAGACCAACAAAGCCAGAGGAGGGAAAGGGGGTCACACTGCCACCTGTGGACGGCGCAGGGGATGGACCAGAGAGGTGGGCCGCGGAGGCCGCATTTCCGGCGGTCCAGCTGGGAAACGGCTGCTGCTGGGGGACAGGAGGAGGAGGGAGGAGAGGAAGCTGGGGCTGGAGGTCGAGCTGCTGCTGGAGCTGCTGAAGCTGCTGAAGCTGCTGCCCGTACTGCTGCGGTCCCTGCTGGTGGGCACTCTGCTGCTGCTGCTGCTGCTGGTGGTGGTACTGTGTTAAACTGTGTTATGTTGGTAGGCTGTAGTGGGGTAGCCAGTATGGGGTACAACCCCAACTAGGGTTTGCTACTTGTACCCAATTCTTCCATTCAATGCACCCATTCTTGCCTAGTTCTGTTAACATGGTATTCAGAGCAGGAGGTCCCTAGGACCTATCGACCGTTTCTTTTAAGGGCCCACCACCGCTCGCATGCGGTTACCACGCTACCCCGTGCCCTAGCCTCGTAGCGCCCTCGTGCGTCCTCGTTAGCGCCCTCGCGCGCCCTCGTTAGCGCCCTCGCGCGCCCTCGTTAGCGCCCTCGCGCGCCCCTCGTTAGCGCCCTCGCGCGCCCTCGCTAGCGCCCTCGAAGCGCCCCTCGTTAGCGCCCTCGCGCGCCCCTCGCAGCGTCGCCCGCCCGCCGAGCCGCCCGCTCGCCGCCCGCCCGCCGCGCTGCCTGCTCGCAGCGTCGCCCGCTCGCCCCGCTGCCCGCTTCGCAGCCCGCTCGCCCCGCTGCCCGCTTCGCAGCCCGCTCGCCCCGCTGCCCGCTTCGCAGCCCGCCCGCCCGCTCGCTGCCCGCTTCGCGGCCCGCCCGCTTCGCTGCCCGCTCGCAGCGTCGCCCGCCCGCCCGCTGCCCGCTTCGCAGCGTCGCCCGCCCGCTTGCTGCCCGCTCGCAGCGTCGCCCGCCCGCCCGCTGCCCGCTTCGCAGCGTCGCCCGCTCGCTCGCTGCCTGCTCGCAGCGTCGCCCGCCCGCCCGCTGCCCGCTCGCAGCGTCGCCCTCCCGCCTCGCTGCCCGCTCGCCGCGTCGCCCGCCCGCCCCGCTGCCCGCTTCGCAGCCCGCCCGCCGCACTTCCCGCCTGCAGCGCCGCCCGCCTCGCCTGCTGCTCCCTGACTGTGCACCGCCGCTTGCTCCTGCTGCTAGCTTCGCTCTAGCGCGTCCCCTCTGCTGCTGCCGCTGCTCTGCTGTGCCCTCACGCCTGAGCTATGGCCTCTATTCGCGTTCTTTCCTTCGATGCTGAGGGCCGTCCCGTGCAGTTCACTTCCTGGCTCGACGACCTGCAGTTGTATCTTATGAGCAATAGCACGGACCACATCTCCCTCTATGACTACGCGTCTGGTGCTGCCGCTGCTCCTGCTGCCACAGCCGAGCTTAGTGTACGTTCACAGTGGCAGACTCGTGACGCTGCAGCTCGCCTGGCTATTCGCAGTCACCTGCCGTTAGCTGAGCTAGAGCACTTTGGCGACTGCAAAACCGCTAAAGCCCTATACGACGCTGTCGTTGCTCGCTACTCCTCACCTGCCACAGCCGAGCTTAGCCGTCTCATGCTGCCTTACCTGTTCCCTGACCTGTCCACCTTTGCTACAGTCGCCGATCTTATCACCCACCTTCGCACTAGTGATGCTCGCCTGCGTGCCGCCCTTCCCACCGAGTTCTGCGCTAAGAACCCCCCTCCCCTGTACTGGGCACTCCACTTCATAGTCACCCGTCTCCCTGACACCCTCAGCTCAGTGCGCGACTATTTCCTTGCTCGCTGTCCCACTGAGCTCACTGTCGCCCTCCTAGAGGAGAAGCTGCTAGCAGCCGAGAAGAGCATTGTAGCTGTAGGTGCTGCTCGCGGCGCTCCTCGCACCCCCATCTTTGAGGGGTGCTCTCCCTCTCCCCTCGCTCCCTCCTATGCTACTGCTGCTGCTGTTGACTTCCTTGGTGCTGAGTCTGCTGGCGCTGCTTCTGCTCCTGGTGGGAGGCGCCGCACCGGCAAGGGCAAGGGGGGCAAGGGTGGCGGGGGTGGCGCTGGGGGGGGAGGGGGTGGGGGAGGTGGGGGGGGAGGCGGTGCTGGAGGGAGCGGTGGCGGGAGTGCCGGTGGGAGTGGGGCCGGCGGCGGAGGCGGGGGCGGCGGCGGGAGCAGTGGCGGTGGTGGCAGCGGCGGCAGTGGCGGCGGTGGCGGTAGTGGCGGTGGCGGTGGCGGTGGTGGCGGTCGGAGCGGAGGTAGTGGCGGCGGTGGAGGTCGGAGTGGAGGCACCGGCTCGGGCCAGAGCTCCCAGCAGCAGCAGCGTCCCCAGTCGACCCAGCAGCTTCGTGAGTGGCTTGCTCAGCGTGGGACGTCGGGGGGCAGTGGCCGCTGTTCCTATGTCATTCGCACAGGTGATCGCAAGGGGCAGACGTGTGGAAAGTTCCACACTCAGTACCGCTGCTTCTTCCGCCTTGACGACGCTTGGCGTGAGGAGATGGGCGAGGATGTTGAGCGCCCTCGCTGGGCTGAGCTGATGAGGGCTGGTGTTGATATCTTTGCTCTTGACTATGATGCTATTATTGCTGCCATGTATGCATTGACTGTTAGTGCCGAGGGAGACTGTTACTTGTGTGTGCCGCCTGACCCAGGTATAGGGCCCGCTGCCCTAGGTACTAGTGAGTCTGCTCTCTCTGGTATGGTGCCCCCTGTACCTGCTCCCTCCAGCACTGTCCCTGCTGCTTGCGAGTCTGCTCTCTCAGGTACAGCACCCACAGAGACTGCTCTCTCAGGTACTGCACCGGCTGAGACCTGTCACACCTTCACCCTTGACTCAGGTGCTTCCCGCTGCTTCTTTCGAGACAGTACTGAGCTCACACCGCTTCCTGCACCGGTCCCAGTCTCCTTGGCTGACCCCTCTGGGGGCCCAGTCCTTGCCCAGTCCACCACTGTGCTCCCTTGTCCGGCGGTTCCGTCTGGCTCGTTGACGGGTTTCCACCTCCCCTCGTTCTCGACGAACCTGGTGAGCAACGCTGTCATCCAGGATCAGTGGGTTGACACCTTTACCCCTGGAGGACAGCGTGTGGCGATCTGCACGTGCTCCAGGACCGGCCGTCACCTGGCTACGTTTACTCGTCGGCCGGGGTCGAGTCTCTACACACTGACCACTGCGTCTCCTCAGGTCGCTGCTGTCGGTCAGGTGTCCGCGTCAGGTCTGGTGGCCCACGCCTGTGAGTGTCGTTCCCTGTCGCACCAGACTCTTCTCTGGCACCACCGCCTGGGTCACCCCTCCTTGCCACGCCTCCGTGGCATGCACCGTCGCCGCCTTGTGTCTGGTCTTCCCAGGTCCCTCCCTCCTCTCCCTTCCTCGCCTGCGCCGCCTTGCCTTCCTTGCGTCGAGGGGTGGCAGCGCGCCGCTCCTCACTCCTCCTCGTTCCCCCCGACAGGGGCTCCTCTGCAGACCCTCCACCTGGACGTGTGGGGCCCAGCCCGCGTTCGTGGCCAGGGCGGTGAGCGGTACTTTTTGCTGGTTGTCGACGACTACTCGCGTTACACCACGGTCTTCCCCTTGCGCACCAAGGGTGAGGTCCCTGCTGTTCTGATCCCTTGGATCCGCACAGTTCGTCTCCAGCTCCGCCGCCGTTTCCGGACGGATCTTCCTGTCCTGCGTCTGCACTCTGACAGAGGTGGTGAGTTTTCCTCCGACCTCTTGAGGACCTTCTGTCAGGCGGAGGGCATCGAGCAGACCTTCACGCTTCCGGACTCCCCACAGCAGAATGGGGTTGCTGAGCGCCGCATTGGCCTGGTCATGGAGGTCGCTCGTACCTCCTTGGTCCACGCGGCGGCTCCCCATTTTCTGTGGCCGTTTGCTGTCCGGTACGCCGCGCATCAGCTCAACCTCTGGCCCCGTGTCTCCTTGCCGGAGACCTCGCCCACACTGCGTTGGACGGGGGAGGTTGGCGATGCGTCGCGCTTCCGGGTGTGGGGTGCTCGTGCCCTTGTCCGCGATACGTCCGCGGACAAGCTCTCCTCCCGCACGCTTCCCTGTGTCTTCCTTGGCTTTGTCCCTGACGCGCCGGGCTGGCAGTTTTACCACCCCACCTCGCGCCGGGTCTTCGCCTCTCAGGACGTCACCTTTGACGAGTCGGTCCCTTTTTACCGTCTCTTCCCCTACCGTACTGCCCCCCTCCCTCCCCCGCCGCTTTTCCTTGCTCCTGGTCCCCCTCCGGTAGACCCCCTTCCCCCTCAGGGTCCTGCTCCTTCAGGTGTCTCTCAGGTAGACCCTCCTCCCGTCGCTGAGCCTGTCGAGGTCACAGGTGACTCAGGTGCTGCTGCAGGTGGTGCTGCTGGGAGTGCTGAGCCTGCGGGTGCTGGGCCTGGGGGTGCTGGGACTACGGGTGCTGGAGCTGAGGGTACTGTGCCTGAGAGTTCGGCGCCTGGGGGTGCTGAGTCTGAGTCTGCATCTGTCTGTCCTCCGTCCGTCGGGGGTGAGTGTGCTCTTGGCACGGACGTCCTTGAGGACAGGCAGGAGGACTTTGACTCTCTCGCGGCTGCTGTACCTCATCTCGTGGCCTGGTTGCTTGCCCCTGAGGGAGACCCGGATGCACTAGACATCCCCACTCCGCGCACTTACGCAGAGGCGATCTCGGGTCCCTACTCCTCTCAGTGGCAGACAGCCATGGACGCAGAGATGGCATCCTGGAAGTCCACAGGCACCTACGTCGACGAGGTTCCCCCTCCTGGGGCGAACATCGTCGATGGCATGTGGATTTTCAGGGTGAAGCGGCCGCCAGGTTCTCCGCCTGTCTTCAAGGCTCGTTACGTTGCTAGAGGCTTCAGTCAGCGTCAGGGGGTCGACTTCTTCCAGACCTTCTCCCCCACCCCGAAGATGACTACTCTTCGGGTTCTGCTGCACGTTGCTGCTCAGCGTGACTACGAGCTTCACTCTCTTGACTTCAGCACAGCGTTCCTGCAGGGCAGCCTGCACGAGGAGATCTGGCTGCGCCGCCCACCTGGCTTTACTGGGTCGTTTCCTCCTAGTACCCAGTGGAGCCTCCGCCGGCCAGTCTACGGTCTCCGCCAGGCGCCACGCGAGTGGCACGACACACTGAGGACTACACTTGCGGCTCTTGGGTTCGCACCGTCTACTGTTGACCCGTCGCTGTTTCTGCGCACAGACACGTCGCTGCCGCCGTTCTACATTCTCGTGTACGTCGACGACTTGGTCTTTGCTACTGCTGACACTGAGGCACTCGCTCGTGTGAAGTCGGAGCTGCAGAAGAGACACACCTGCACTGACCTGGGTGAGCTGCGTAGCTACCTTGGCTTGCAGATCACCCGGGACAGAGCTCGCCGCACCATCACCCTGACTCAGTCACACATGGTGCAGCAGGTCCTTCAGCGCTTCGGCTTCCAGTTCTCCTCACCACAGGCCACACCTCTGGCTACCAGCCACTCGCTCTCAGCTCCACCTCCGGACGAGTCCGTAGAGCCGAGTGGCCCGTACCCAGAGCTTGTGGGCTGCCTCATGTACCTGATGACTTGCACGCGACCTGACCTCGCGTACCCTCTTAGCATCCTTGCTCGTTACGTTGCGCCTGGGAGACACAGGCGAGAGCACTGGGAGGCTGCTAAGAGGGTGCTGCGCTACTTGTGCAGTACATCAGGCATGGGGCTGGTGCTTGGAGGACGCGACAGAGTTGTCCTCACTGGCCACTCGGACGCTTCTTGGGTGGACGACCTGGCTACGCAGCGGTCGTCACAGGGTTACACCTTCAGCCTTGGCTCTGGTTCTGTCTCGTGGCGGTCCACCCGCTCTTCTTCTGTTCTCGGCTCTAGTTGTGAGGCTGAGATCTACGCCACAGCCATGGCTGCCCAGGAGTTACGCTGGCTCACCTACCTGCTGACTGACTTGGGAGAGCGGCCTAGTTCTCCTCCAGTTCTGTACGGTGACAACAAGGCGGCCCTTGCCTTGTGTCAGGAGCACAGACTGGAGCACAGGACGAAGCACATTGCTCTTCGCTACTTTCTTGCTCGAGAGCTGCAGCAGCGAGGTCAGCTTCGGCTTGTGTACGTGGACTCGAAGGCCAACACTGCTGATATCTTCACCAAGGCGCTCCCGCCTAGTGATCATCAGCGGCACTGTACTTCCTTAGGCCTTGTGTCCACATTCCCTCATTTGCTTACTGCTTGACTTTCTTTGTACTGTCCTTTATATATATCTCGTTGCTTGCTTGCTAGGTCTTGATCACTGTGTTGCTTGTCTTGTACTATATCTAGCACTGCATGTGAACTGGCCTTGTGGCCTTTGCTTGTGCTCGGAGTGTGGTGACGTTGTGATCCACCCTGGGCTTGCTTTGCTTTGCTAGACTGGTCTTGTGACCCTTTGTTCTCCCCCACTTTGCCTATGGGGGTGTGTTAAACTGTGTTATGTTGGTAGGCTGTAGTGGGGTAGCCAGTATGGGGTACAACCCCAACTAGGGTTTGCTACTTGTACCCAATTCTTCCATTCAATGACACATTCTTGCTTAGTCCTATTAACATACTGGTGCTGCTGCTGCTGCTGCTGCTGCTGCTGAGAGGGGAGAGCAAAGGCCTGGTGGGCCTGGGAGGAGGAGGAGGGGGCGTAGAGGGGAGAGGTGCGAACATCGAGGGGAGTGGGGCGGGGATTAAGGGCGGACCAGCGAGGAGGGGTGCCAGAGTTCCCACGAGCGAACCACTCATCGCTGAGTGCCTTGAAGCACGTGTCAGTTGCATGAGTGGTTTGGTTGCAGCGTTGGCCTCGGGTGGGGCCATAGAGAGGAAGGAAGATACTGACAGGGTGGGAAGGCCGCTGCTGCCCCACGACCCGCACCACCACGACCGCCAGAGCCGCCTCGACCACCACCACGCCCACCTCCACGCCCTCCCCCACGTCCGCCCTTGCCGCTGCGCTGCTGTGCTACCGCGGCAGTGGAGGAGGAGTGGCGAAGGATTTCAGCCTCAGTGGTGATAATCCACTGGGCAACTTGAGCGGGAGTGTCATGCTTGGAGAGGAGTTGCATGTATGCGAGCTTGTGGGCATCGAAGGCGGGAGTGAGGCCTTCGAGGAGGTGGCAGCAGATGACGGTGTCAGGGTAGGTAACGCCAAGGGCTGCAAGGCGGCGAGCAAGGACAAGGACGCAGCAAGTAAAGGCGGCTGCGCCGGCAGTGGAATCCATGGTGATGGATCCAAATTCCTTGATGAGGGCATAGAGGGTGGCGATGTCCTGCTGGTCGAAGAGGTCGACAAGCAGTTGCCACAGGTGGGAGGAGGAGGTAGGTGAAAGCTCTCGTTTGAGGGAGGAGGGGATAGTGGCGAGGAGGATGGCGAGAGCTCGACGGTCAGCAATGCGCCACGCAGCGATGTCGGTGGTGTAGCTGGCGAGACGTGTAGTGTACGTGGTGAGCCGGGCTTGGTAATCGCGGTGGCGGGCAGCAGCCTCGTCGTAGGCGCGCTTGTCGTCCTCATAGCGCAGTTGACGGCGAAGGTGGTCGTTAAGTGTGGTGCGGTAGGTACGGATGGCAGTTTCCATGCTCTGAGGATTGTTGACATCCGGCGCGAAGGAGGGAGGATCACCAGGAGGTTCGGGCTCAGGTCCGGGCTCATCAGGAGGAGGTCCGGTGGGAGGGGAAGGGGCGATGGGCTGGAGTCCGCCTTCCTCCTGGAACACGACGGAACGGAGGGTGTATCCACTGACGACAACCGAGGAGAGCAACACCTCGACGGAGTGGGCATAAGAGTGCCAGTTGGCGGCCGAGTTGTCGCCCAACAGCTCGAGAGAGTCAATGGTTGCCAAGTCGACCGATGAGTCTGCGGACGCCATGATGGCGAAGCCGGGAAGGTGCCGCTGCTGGTGCCGGTGACGGTGCCGCTGCTGGTGCCGTTGAAGGTGCCGCTGCTGGTGCCGTTGACGGTGCCGCTGCTGGTGCCGTTGAAGGTGCCGCTGCTGGTGCCGTTGAAGGTGCCGCTGCTGGTGCCGTTGAAGGTGCCGCTGCTGGTGCCGTTGAAGGTGCCGCTGCTGGTGCCGTTGAAGGTGCCGCTGCTGGTGCCGTTGAAGGTGCCGCTGCTGGTGCCGTTGAAGGTGCCGCTGCTGTTTTAGGGTTGAAGGTGCCGCTGCTAGGTGCTGTTGCTGGTGGAGTTAAGGATGGAGCAGGGGGGGGGAGGTAGGGGAGAGGGAGGGTGGCACGGAAGTGTGAGGCGGGGCGCGGATGAAGGGGGGAGGTCGCGGTGAGCGCGAGCAGGCGACCGCGAGGGCGCGGAGGTCAGTCGCGGCGGCGCGCCGGCCGGCCGCGAGTGCGCGAGGGTCGGCCGCGGCTCCGCGTCAGCCGTCCGCGTCAGCGCGAGGGACGGCCGCGTGGCTTCGCGGTGGCCGTCCGCGTCAGCGCGGGGATCGGCGCCGCTCGCGCGCTGGCCGTCCGTGCTGGCGCGCAGATCGGCGGCGGCTCCGCGTTGGCCGTGCGCGTCGGCGCGCGGGGTGCTCGTGGCCGCGCGCTGGCTGTCCGCGACGGCTTGCTGGCCGTCCGCGACGGCGTGCTGGCCGTCCGCGACGGCGTGCTGGCCGTCCGCGACGGCGTGCTGGCCGTCCGCGACGGCGCGCGGGTCGTCCGCGACGGAAGGCGTGAGGGAGGCGTGACGACGGGAGGGAGGATTGAGGCCACGGGAGAGCGGTTGGAGGCCGCGGGAGGGAGGATTGAGGCCGCGGGAGGGAGGATTGAGGCCGCGGGAGGGAGGATTGAGGCCGCGGGAGGGAGGATTGAGGCCGCGGGAGGGAGGATTGAGGCCGCGGGAGGGAGGATTGAGGCCGCGGAGGAATAGATCTGAGTTGCGGAAAGCTAGATGTGAGGTGCGGGAGGAAGAATTGAGGCCGCGGGAGGCTAGATCTAAGATGCGGGTGGACGGATGTGCATCGTAGTCCGCTAGAGTGGAGAAGCGGAGAGGAAATTACGGCCTAAGGATCGAGGGAGGGGGTGTGAGCCATTTGGCTCTGAATACCATGATAGAATTCAAGAATGGTTGAGTAATGAGCCAAGGAGGCTCTATAGTACAAGCATGCAAGGAAGAGAGGTTGGAAGAAGGTGCAAACCCTATTGGCCACTAAGTTGGCCAATGGGTGAGTTGCCTTGTGGAGTAGGGAACCCCACAATGTTGCTAGCTTGTGATTGGTTGGCCTTAGGACCAAATGTTGGCAAGTGCCAACCAAGGACCAAGACCAAACCAAATCTTGACCCAACCACAAAGTGTGGTTGGAGTGTACACCCAACCCCCCAATAGCTTAAAGAGCTACACCTATTCTAGCCTATGTATGTTGTATATATAAGATACATTTACAACACATTGTTGCCCTCGCAGCTCTCACTTCCTGATCCTGAACGCGGGTCCCATAAACTCCAGGATCTAACCTGCAGATGGCGTGACATAAGTTAGGCTAATTCCC